AGGTCCTTGATCCCTTGCTTACTCTCTCTTCTCTTTCTGGTATTCCCATGATGTGGATGTTGTTATGCTTCATGTCAAAATGTTTCTTAAGCTCCCTTCTTTTTTATTTATTTCTTTATTTTAGCTGCTCTGCCTGGGTGTTTTTTTCTGCCTTGTCTTCCAAGACACTGATTTGATCCTCTGCTTCTTCTAAGCTACTGTTTATTCCTCCCAGTGTATTATTTATTTCAATTATTTCATTATTTATTTAGGACTGGTCCTTTTTTATGGTTTCTATGTCTTCTTTCATGCTGTTGAATATCCTTATAATCATTACTCTAAACTATGTGATAATTGCTTGCCTCCATTTCATCTAGCTCTTCTTCTGGAGAATTATCTTGTTCTTTCATTTGGGATCTGTTTCTTTGTCTTCTTACTTTGGCTGTTTCTTTGTGTTTGTTTCTGTGTATTAGGTAGCTATGCAAGGCCTTTGTCAGATGCTGCTTGTGACTGGTCCTAGTCAAACTGTTTGGAGCTATCAGTGATCCACAGAATGTGGTTCCCTCTGCTGGGCCTGTTTGTGGGCAGAAAGAATCAGGCAGTGCACCAAGGCTGATTTCTATCAGCACAGAACATAGAAGAGGGTTAGCTGGTGTCATAGGGCTCCCAGAGATCCAACTGAGTTATAAACTAATCAATGATATAGCCCCAAGCTGTAATCAACAGCCCAGCTTAAGCTCCACAGGGTGGGGCAGAGTAACTCCTCTGGGTAGGACTATTGCTTCCCCTTAGGCTGATACCACTTGGAGAGGATTGCTGTGCCTGAGAAAGATGGGCTCTGTATTATGGGGAACGATGCAGCACAGGGATCCTGGTAGCTATTCCTTCAGTTCTCTCCCCAGACACACCAACCCCAGATTCTCCTTAAGCATCTCTAGTTCATTCTGCCCTCATTCTGCTGGAGCCCATGGTAAGTGGCTGCAAAACAAACTGTGCATTTCTTAAGAGGCTCTCTGAGTTTCCAACTGTTTCTCCCTTGCAGACAGAAACCCTGCTGCTTTTCACTGCTGGATGTTATCTGGGTCCCTTTCCAGGTCTGGTGTTTTATAGGCTGGGGAGCCCAGCTTAGGGTTTAGACCCCACACTTCTCAGGGGAAACCCACCAGCTTCTGAGATATCCCTCTGGAACTTTAGTGGCTGCTCATGGGAGCCCAGCCAGCCCCCTCACACCTCCTCCACACTCCCTACCAGTCTCGTTGTGATGAAGTGATTTCTTCTGACTGACTGTGGTCGTAAGGTTTCTCTCCAGCTAGTGTTCAGTTAATTATTCAAGATGATTTCTTTACAATTTAGTTGTAATTACAGGTTGGTCCCGAGAGGAGGTTAGTGTAGCTTCCACTTACTCCTGTACCACCTTGGATCTCTGCTTTTATAAATTTGATTTTCTTCACACATATAAGTGATATTATGCAGTACTTGCCTTTCTGTGTCTGGCTTAATTTACTTAGCATAATGACCTCAAGTTTCATTCACATTGCCACAAATGGTAGAACTTAGTTTTTTTTTTAAGGCAGATATAGATATAGATATAGATAGATATATATCTCACATTGTCTTCATTCATAGGTAATTACTTAGATTGTTTCTATGTATTAACTATTATGAATAATGTTGCAATGAACATGGGACTGTTGTGTCTCTTTGAGATACTGATTTCATTCCTTCAGATATATACCTAGAAGTGATATTGCTGAATCATATGGTAGCTCTATTGTTACATTTTTTAGGAGATTCCATACTGTTTTTCACTGTTATATGCACCAATTTACATTATCATCAGGGGTACCTTTTTCTCCACATTCTTGCCAACACTTGTCTTTTCTGTTTTTGATAATATTTTACATTTTATATTGATAAACTTTTTTATTTTTAGGTAGCTTTTTTTGTTATCTGTAACAAAAAGCATTTTGACTTACCAATATTTCTACCCACTTCAATCTTTTAGTTCTGTCTCTCCACCAATAATGCTGTTGTAAAGAGCATCCAATGGGCTGCATGCTGGAGAATCCAACAGATAGTTCTCCTGCTCCTCCATCTCACTAAGATTTTGAAGGTTAAATTTACATCAGATACACAAGTGTGCTCAGGGGTATTCATTGTAGCATTGGGAATAATAGTGAAATCTTGAAAATAACTTACGGATATACTGAATACTGAAAATAATCTACTGATGCACACAATTTTATTTGATTTATTTTTTACTACTTTTATTTCAAATATATCCTGTAGTTTTCAAATGTATATTGTATACATTATTAAATTATTATAATAAATATCTATATTTTATTTTTGATTATTTATATTTTTAATTTTATTTGAAATGTGCATTTTCAATTAGTAATTTAGTCACCAATAGGAGGCTGAGTTAATAAATTACATATTTTTTTCACAAAGTGCAGTCAATGATAGAGTGAAGCAATTTTACATGTAATAATGTGGAATAGTGGCCAAGATATATTAAGTGAAAACAGCAACAAGAAGAGCAGCTTGAATTTTCATGCCAGAATTTTAATTTCAAAAGATGATATTAGTATGTGTGTATGTATGAAATAGCTTTGAAAGGATTCATAAGAACCTAGTTGGTTCCCTCTAAGAAATGCAACTAGATAGTGGTTGGTAGTGACAGGAATGTGAAGAAAATTAACGTTGCATAATATTTTTTACCTTTTAAATTTGTGTTGTGGCTACATAGTAGCTATCACAAAAAATAATATATTTAGGTTATTTTTTAATTAGTAAACACATAATTCCTGGCAGAATACTATTAAAATTCCATCTTAAAATCTCCCATATGGTCTCTTTCATAGTCATGGTTTTAAGAACAATTAAATGATGACAAATTCCACATATTTATATCTTCTCTCTTTCTTTAAACTTGAAATTTAATAGACATATACCACGGATTATTTTTAGGTGTACAACATAATGATTTAATGTATATATATTGCAGAATGAGTACCACAGCAAATTTCATTAACATGTATTACCACACGTGGTTACTGTATCCTCTCTTTCGGACTCATTTACCATATGGCCTCCTTGTATAGCTCTCAGACATTTTGAAGATTGGCAAAACTAAGCAATTCTTCCTCTTTCTTACCCTTTTCTCACAAAACTGCTTCTCTCCAAGTCTTTCCCCATCTCAGTAAAAACTTTCACCCACATCCCTGATGCTCAAGGAAGCTATCTGGGAATTATTCTGGACACTTCCCTGGCTCTTAAACTCCATACCAATCAATTGTGGAGTCCTGGGGTCTATCTCTTACATGTACTTTTTATTCTTTTCTCTGACTCCTCAGTGTGACCACTTTAGCCCAAGCCATCAATCCCTTCACCTCATTCTACGCCTCCTCTCAAGACCTTCTCTAAAGCCATTCCCTTAAAACTTCCATTAAAACCACTTAGTTCAAAGTAAATCCTCCTATTATTCTAACAAGGAAGCCAATTTTTTCATTATAAATCTTCTTAAATATACAATTGTATGTACATGTTTGCTGTCATTTGCTGGATTATAATCTTAATAAGGGCAGAGGCTGTGTTCATTTTCTCAGACTCCTGTGCCTATAGCCTATCACAATGCCTGGCACATAGAATATTATTGGTTAATTATACTTAAATTAATAAATAAGTTTCAGAGTGGATGAGCTTTTAGTGTGTAGCAGATGATGTTCTAGACATGGTGCTTGGGGGCAATAAATCTGTCTTAGTATAAGCATTTGCCCATAGACTTCTAGCAGAGACAGATACAAGTGAGTGTGAGAGAATGGTTTCCTATGTGAATGGCGTGGATATGAGCAAATTTGTTGGCTACAGCAGGGAAGGAGCTCCACTGAGGGCATACATAAGTAAATGGAAAAGATGAAGGACAGGAATACAATCAACAGAAATGCTTACATACTGGAATTATCTTCTACAAGGGATGGAACTATGAATTGTAAGGGGTGGGTAAGCCCCTTGTAGTACACTTTCTCCATGAGTTGAGTGTTCTAGGAACCCATCTGTATCAGTGTACCAGCTGGCATTGTGAGAGTCTGCATTTGGCTTCAGTCAATTCGTTTGCCCATTTCATGATGGGTGAATTACTAGCACACCTGTCCACACTGTGCTGGGTGTTCACCAGTTTTTAACTGAAAACGTCATGACCCTCAGACCCACCCTCCCTTTTCACCCAGTCTTGCCCTGAGCAACTTTTGTTGTTTCCACGGATGAAAAAAAAAGTCCTCAAAGGGAAATGTTTTGCCAATGTGGAAGAAGTGCAACAAAAAATGGCAAAAGCACTAAAAGGCATCAGAATCAATGACTTCAAAAGCTGTCTGAGCAGTGGGAAAAAGTGTCAATAGGTGTATTGCATCAAGTGAAGAGTATTTTGAAGGTGACAGAAGTTTGACAATGTAAGAGTAAATACACAATTTTTAAAAATAAACTCTAGGGTTTTGGGGGGCCTCCCTCATAATTATAAGGTTCTGCTTTGCAGTTTGTCTCAGACCCTGCCCTACAAGGTAACAACTACCTCAGATCTTTCTCCCAGGGCATGTCAAGAACACATGATGTTTGGGTGGTGGAAATAGACATCCTGCTTGTAGGGCACCTGGGGAGGGCAAGTGGTAAATTGTCTTCAGTTCTGGATGAGCCACTGTGAGGCCACAGCCATGGAGACCCCCTCCTGCCATCTCCAATGGCTGAGCATCAGGCTGTCGACTGCTCAGTCCACACTGTGCACAAGACTGGAAGAATGACTTTTTCTTGAAAAAAAAAACACCCCAAAACAATAAAATAAAATAACTGACAAATCTTCTTTATTAAGTAACAAACAAATACTTTATATACAATCCCTTGTCTGTTGCACACGAGTGCTTCCCCCTTCTCCTCTGAAGTTTGCTCCACATGACCCAAGTGCAAGTTCAGTGAGGGTTTGAGTGCCCTGTGATACTTGTGAGGCCAACTGGTGGTTTTGTGAGGCTTGTCAGAGTCCATGCTTGCATTCTCAGGTACTGTGCGTGTGGGAGAAAATGAATCAGGTCAGTTCACAAAGACTTAGATGAAGAATTATTAGCTTCATTTAAAATGCCCATGTTGTGTCTTCTATGTATATCTCTTAACAATTGAACCAGCTGTTACTTTTCAAAATATGTGTCACTTTCCTTGCATTTGGGTCATACTCCAACTGTGAAGATCCACTGAAGAAATAGAAAAACCCTGCAAATACAGACAAGGGAAATAGTGAGATATTTTTTCAAATAAATAAATTTGGCAACATACAAAACTCAGAATAACAGATAAATAGAAATGAAAAGTGTTTATAGAATTTACTATGTGCCAGAGATTATGTGTTAAACATTTTACACATTTTTTTTTCATTTATTTCTGCAAAAGTCCTCTGAGGTAAGTATAGCTAATGCCATTTTACTGATGAGCAAGTTGAGGTTCAGACAGATTTAAATGCTTGCTCAAAGTCATTCAACAAGGAAAAGAGGAGACAGGATTCTGTTGCAGCTCTGTCAGGTAGCAAAGCCAGGCTCTAGGTTATTTGGTTATTCTGCTTCCAAGCAGGTAAGTCTCTGCTTCTTGGGAAATTATGATCTCTTATTTTCTTTCTTCCTAATACTCCTCCTCTCCTTGCCCCACATGGCACCCTGTGGGGCATTTGTAGCTAGCTTTAGAGAAGCATAGAAGACCCTCTGGGCTCTGCCCTCAAGGTGCTCTGGTTACCCCACAACCAGGATCATTAGCCTCCACCCATCTAGCCTTGAGTAGCAAAAAAAAATCTTTTAAAAACTTTGGGTATGTGGAAACATACATATTTGCAACCAGCTTCTCAGAAAATGTAGAGAACATCTCCCTAGGAATTAGTAATAGCTACAGCATAGAGTGGAGGGGAAAGCCAGCCAGCCAGTATTAAGTTTAGACACACCACAGGAAGGGATTTTTATACTGACATAGTAATTTGAAAGGTAATAGCTCTTGATGTAAGGAAGTGACACTTGAGAAGTTTGATTTTATCTGGATGTATAAAGTAGAGAGATTTGTGTTAAATATATTAATGATTCAAAACACCTTATTATATGAAGTAGTTGTATAATTGGTTAAAATTGATAAATTTGAATTTGGGGGTGGAGAGAACTAGTTGAAGAAAACCTATTATTAAAAAATTTTTAATTACCTTCCTTCTGATACCATAAAATATTTCAAGCACCCCATTGCCAACAAAACAAGTATCCTCTTACCAAAAGCTTCAAAAACAGCATCCACCTTGGAGTCAACCCCTGGAAAGTCTTCTGCTATTTGCCTGGGAAATCCTGGATCCATAGACTGTTTCTTCCCATCAAATCTGCACCAAATAAAAATGAAGTTCAGCATTGTCTAGAGGCCATGTTACCAAAATTCTTAAATCATGTTAGGTTTAATATAGAATTCTAGTAAACTTTCCAAGTACTGTGAATAAATGTCAAACATGTTTAGCACTATAGAAATATGTGATTTTAGTGCAACTGCAAACTTAGCTCTTAAACTATATTTTCACCTGGAACAGAGGCAGCATTTTGATTTAGAAGATGCTGCTTATTATTATTATATATCTTAAGCATAGACAAAAAGAACTTTAATCATTTTTCTATCACAAAGACATGAAGAAATGAACAGATTATAAAGTGAGTTAAATTATTGATCTCAAATACAAATTTCAAGTTCTTCATCATACGTGGCTCATCATATACACCCTCCTCAACCTGCACTACAAGATGGCATTCTTTTAGAAAAAGGGATTCGAATGAGCAGCAAAGCACAGCAAATGTCTTTGGGACTTACTGACTGGACCTTGGATGGTCTGCTCAGATGTCTCAGAGTCTGGGCAGATGACCATGAATCAGTCTTTCTATGAGTGTTGGGTTCTATCCATGAAACTACACTGCCTCTGCTCATTTTCCTCTGAAACAGGCTGAGGTAATGAGTGGGTGAGGTTAAGGAAGCTCTTGAGAATCATACAGTAAAGTTGGGAAGACAAGACAAGCACTCAAGGCAACAATGAGACCTCAAGACAATGGGAAAGGAATAGTAAATTTTGGCCTGGATTCTCAGGGCTTCTTTCAAAAAAGAAAAGCCCAGTTAGGTTTAGAGTCCAGCAGGAAAGCTGTATGGAGGTGGTGGGACTTGAGTCAGGACTTGAGGATGGGTGGGTTTTTGGTAGGTGGATGAGAGAAAAGGGCACTTCTGACAGATTGGACAGCAGCACAAAAGGAAGCTCCCTCCTGCTCTACACAGGACTCCGAACAGAAGAGCCTATGAAGTGTCTGTGACCAGGCACCGATAGCAGGGGTGTCCAACCTTTGGCGTCTCTGCACCGGAAGAAAAAGTTGTCTTGGGCCACACATTAAATACATTGCAACATGTAATCACACAAAAAAATCTCATAATGTTTTAAGTATATTTACTATTTTGTGTTAGGCCACATTCACAGCCATTCTGGGTTTCATGCAGCCCTCAGGCCACAGGTTGGACATCCCTATAAGTAAACACTTCCTCCACAGTGGTCTAAAGCCCCATCTTCCTACTGAGAGGGAAGCAGAACTGCGTGAGGCAGAGAAAGAAAATAATTTCTCTAATTAGGCCCCATACAAAGTCATTTCAGTTGCATATTACCTCCAGTATTTGTCCTCTACAAAGAAGTATGTTTTCTTCTTTTGCTTATCAAAAATGGCTGCATCTACTTTCCTGATGGTGGGAGGAAAACCCAGTGTTTGGATACCTCTAGGGTAACCTGCTTGGAGTTCATTTCCTCTGATGGCCCAGAACTGATTTCCTGTTTAAAAAAAATAGTTCAGAATCACATTGAATTTTCAACGGTTAAAATTTTGATCTTTAGAAATGCTTTTTAGCATTTTTGATTTTACAGTAAAGAAGAAGCCAGAATTTTAGATTTAGTCACCAGCTTGAAGTGGGCATTTAACAAAAATTAGCCCATTGAATGAATGAGCACAGATCAAATGAGGGAATATACAACTCTAAAGCAATTTATGTTATTGTGTTCATTTTTATCATCTATAAAATACATAAATAAAACAATACCAGTTTCAGTCATCTCTTCATTACCTTAGTGTAATAAAATAGAATTTGGTACAAGAGAAAAACTTAAAATCCTATTCAATTTTCCTGTGAGAGGATTTCTTTCTATAAATTCAAGAAATTATTACATAATAATTACGTTTAAAAATGAAAACGATATCCTTGCTAGTGTCTTCATATGCAGCATCCACTCCTGAAGGAAGAGAGGGCCAAAAGGAGGAGATCAAATGAAATTCAGGTTCAAGAATCCTTAGGGATTTGCGCCAAAAATGTCTGAAATACATGTAAAAAGAAATGGAAATTTAAAAACTCTTTCATCTTTAGTGTATTTTCCTCATTGTTCTGTGTCACCCATGTTCTCCATTCCCTTATCTCCTAGATTTGATTACACATAGAAATCAGGTTTCCCTGGGAAAATATTTTTCTGTTTCTTCAGAAAACTGCACTGGACCTCTTGCCATAAGATTACAGAGTAATGTCTTCTATAAAATGGAAGTTATCCTAAAATGCAAGTTAATTAGCTGATTGTAAACTCTAAATACCTAAAATTTATGTAAAATAGTGTATATATTATATAATCTTTTCCATTTTCAAAAAGATAAATATCCGTGTAAGTATATGGAAAGTGTAAGTATATTTTTGTATCTGCATGGAACATTTCTGGAAGGATAAAAAAGGGTCTTTGGCTGTTGATGAAGATGGAGATAACTGAAGAACCAAGATCAATGATGTAAGGAAGACTTGCTTTTAACTTTCTTCCCATTTGCACAGTTTAAATGTTTTATCATGTGCATATTTATCCAGCAGTGAGTAAATTAATTGTAATTTAAGTGTAATGCTATTTTGGTGTTATTTTTTAAAGGAGGTAAATACAAAATCCTTATTTTAAAGTTCTACTTGCGTCTGTTGAAAAGCAACCATGCCTTATAACATTGGGGAACAATCAGAGGTCAAGAATTAAATCATGCTGGCTAGGGCTCCAAAAATGGACTTGCCAGTTTTAGGAAAATGTGGGAATTAGAGCACCAGATCAGAGGAGTTTTCAGTTCAGAGGAATCATTTTTGTTTGAAATGTTTAAAAACCTCTATCAGGTTTCTGTTGTTTTCATTTCTAAGCATTGCACATCAAAAGAACAGAAGGGAAAATAGAAGTTTCTGCTCTGACCTGTCTTTAAAGAACAGGAATTCTCCCCTCAGAGTGCTGGCTGCGTCGAAGGACAAAGTGGGATCACACATGGCTGGAGTCTTAGGGGGAACGGACTCTGTAGGCACCACAGGCTCATCAGGGGAAGCAGGGGGAGGTCCTAAAGAGAACAGATGTGAAGATGCAAACATTAGGAGAAATGTGATGCTTCCATCAATGGGTGTGCTTCCCAAACATTCTCAAAGTGCTTCAGGATGACTGCAAATGCTTTACAAAACATTTTCAAGCTTTCCCGAAGACCATCATTGCAAAGCTACAATGCCTAATTTTCCCAGCACCACTCACCATACAGGGACTGAATGCCATTCACATCATCTTGAGAAAGGTGGAACCTGGCCAGGTCTGTGAATTTGTTGTAGATTGGGTACATCAAAGCTTCAGTGTTGGCGGAGTGAGAGAGACCCAGGGAATGGCCAAGTTCATGAGCAGCAACGAGGAATAAATTGGTCCCTATTTAGAAAATCATAAATAAGAGTTACTTATTCCTTAAATACATGTACATTGCACAGAGCAGCTGTGCATTATATCTGTTTATTGCCTGGAGGTACAATGATTATTTTTGCCTTGAGTTTTGGTTAACTGATCAATTAACTGACCTACACTTAATTTAAACCCAAGTGTTTTTCAAGGCTCATTCTTGACATCAATCTTTGAAACAAATTGTCAAGCCATATCCACCTACTCCCTTCTCAGGAGTCTATTAAATTCATGAGAATGAGGTTCCTTTTACTGCACTCTGGAATAGAATGAATCTACTAGTTTAGCACATCAAGAAATATTTCTTTTGCTTTGTCAATGAAAAGCTAAATACTGTTTAATGTATTGCCATTTGTTGGTTAGTCTAAATTAAATGAATCACAATTTATTCATCTCAAATCCTTAAACAATCTTATTCCTGTTATTTGCCATTGGAATGTTGCTTGCACTATTTTCAGTTTCATGATTATTATTTAGTACATATTGAGTAAAAAATATTAATAATAATAGATTTTATACCATTTTTATGATAGGTTTAAAACATAGCATGCCCAATCTGTCTAGCATTTGTCACAAAAGTGATTTTGGCCACACAAATATTAGCTATACTCAAATATTTTTCTCCATATAATAAAAATAAAATAGAATGTCAAAATTGGAAGGCATTGAGTAATTATGATTGACATAACAAGTAATTTGACTTTCAAGTTTTCATTTGAGACTTTGCAGGAATGTTTCTTTGAAGGAAGAAGTTGCTAATTCAATCCAACAAAAAATGTTATCCAGCACTAACCTCACTTTTGTACTCTCTACAGAGATTCTGTTTATATTTTGATTATAAATCCCAGTTAAATTTCAGAAGTAATATTATTCATATCCAGGTATAAACTGAGAAACATTCTTCTTAACCTTAAAGAGTGCAGACTTTTTATTTGAGGTTTAGTTATTTCCTCCAGAACAAGTCCATAACAGCCCTTCTTAACCTGGGGAAAGTAAAATGTTATTCGAACCAGAAAAACCTGAACTGAAACCTCAATTTCTAGAAGTTAATTCTTATTTCTGTTTGGATCAATAAAGAAGTAATTGGGGGGCATTTTCCCCATTGGATATAAGCAATATCCAGGGCACATGTTAGTATATATTCAATACAATATACTACATGTTGGATATCTATAATTTGATATGAGAAGTTGTCCTTAATGATGGTTCTAAGATCACACAAAAAACAGAGTCATCAAAGAAATACTTAGTGATGCTTCCTATATTGTGCTTACCAAGACAGAGAATGAATTTTTTAGACATCTGAAAACATTTTTAATAATGATTAAAACAAAGTATATCCTCCTGGTCCTTAACCCATGGGGAAATACAAAGCAAGGCATTTCTTGAATACTCTTAGTTATTAAAATTTTTCCAAATATAAAAAAAATCATTCTGAGATGTATAACTAACCTGCTGTATCTTTTGTCCATTGCTCATCATCATCAAAGTGAGCATCTCCATAAATCCCCAGCCCGGGTGGGTAGGCATGAGCCAAAACCTTCCCAGGTCCATCAAAAGGGATAAAGTCTCCATGATCTAATAGAGAAAAAAAATATTGGAAAGATGAGTAATTAGAATCTTTTTGGAAACTTTTCTAATGAAACAGCACCAGGTAAATGGGTGCATTTCATGTTTTTTGTTTGTTTCTTACCTCTAACTGCAAAAGTGATCATTATGTCAGCCTCTCCTTCATAAATCCTGGAGAATGTAAGTGGGGTCACCTCCTCCCAGACCTTCAGAGCTTTCTCAATGGCAGAATTAACAGCATCCCTTGGCAAATCCAGGGTATAATTCACAATCCTGTGTGTGAACAATTAAAGAAGGTAACATTTTCTCTTGAGATCACAGTGTGTGAACTGTCAGTATTATGTGAAAACCTCTTGGTACCCGTTACCTGTAGGTAAGGTGAGTTTTCCTCCACTTTGGCATGCCAGGAAAGGTAGTGAAGCTTCCAACATCAGGAACTCCGCACCTGGGCTTATGCATCACCTCCAGCGTTTCTAAGTCCAGCTTCCCTGTCACCTCCAACCCCAGGAACTTCTGCATTTCTTGGATTTTTTTAACAACAGGGCTACTGTCCTTTCTTCTAACAAATGGTTTCACTTCTTTTGCGAGGTTGTAGTATTTTTCTAGGTAGTGCTGTTGGAATAATAAGTATAATTTTTAGGTAATTCTTATTATTTTTTAGGCTTTTACAGTACATTTGTGCAGTTGCTCACTTAATTTATTTGAAACATTCCTCTAGTTTGCTGAAATCAAAGTGTCATATTCTGTTTAATTTTTTAATTAATTACAAATTCCACTTTTGTTTTATCTTTGTAGCTAAATAATCTCTATAGCCTAGTTTCCTACAAAAGCACTTGAAAAGAAGTAGAAAATTTAAATAAATATCTAGTCAATTTAAAGAAGAAAAAATTAATTTCTTTGGGCATAACAGTATAGTGTGTGAGCTGAGAGTTCACACACTATAATCTCAAGAGAAAATATTACCTTCTTATATTTCAGGTGCGTTTATTCAATTCCCTCAATTTTCTATTTTGTGTGTCTCATAAGGGCTTGGGCTTGAGAAAAGAAAATGGACAAATTCCTGTCTTTAAACATGACACTGGCAACATAAAAATCTAGCTAATCTTACATTGGATTAAACTACCTAAAGAAGTTTCCTGTAGAGGACCCAGAACAAGTCACCCCAAGATTTCCCTCTGTGGTATGTAGGTTGTTTTGGGCTAAGGGCAACCTTAGCCATAGGCTCAGGAGAAACTTTTGCCCCTCCCCACCCTTAACTGCTCAGAAGATTTTGAATTAGACACCTTGCCTATAATGGATTATCAGTTTTGACTCCCTAGAAGTCAGGGCAAACTTTTATTTACTAAACTTCTTTTCTTATCATCCTGCAATGACCCTTTGAAGTCCCCAAGATGCATTACCTCCACCCCTGGCTCAGAATGTCTTATATAGCTCAATCCCCTTTTCTATGTCTGAACCCTTGTGCATGTGGGGCCTCTAAACCTCTCAGGTATGCAGGGTTCCCATGCATATGTATGTGTTAAATTTGACTATTTTTTTCTTACTAAGAAAAGAAAACAATGCCTAAAGAAACTCAAAAGCAAGTTACATTTCATACACTCTCTCTACTACAGTGTCCATGATCTTAGAAAAACACCTAATATACCTGGCATTTGCTTCTTTCTATGTGAAAGGAGAAGCCTGAATAGTGTGTGATATGGAGACCCTTTCCACATACAACACTTTATAATTTTTTGTCCTTGAAGTATTCCTACACAGTAATTCAAACACTCTGCGTGAGTTTTGTGAATGGGAAGCAGAGATGTTTTTCCCGCTTACCCCTGTGAATGAGTGTGAGGGCTCCCTCCCTTAATTACCTGAACCAGCTCCATGCTGTTGTCCTCATCCCTTGCGACTCCATTCAGTGGATAGGCTGAGCCAGCTGCCACACACAGAAGCAGTAGCATAGGAACAGTCTTCATTTCTACCGGCTTCACTCAGATCTGTGTTGTCTTAATGCCTTGCTCTTTGCCTATCTTCTTCTAGGTCCACCCTCTGGAGCCCAACTTTTATAGGGTGGCAATGTTTGCTTAGTTCACCCACAGCGTGACTCATGATTGCTGTCATCCGAAGAGCAGCAGAACCATTTCCAAAAATTCCAGATCCCAAATAGGATGATATAAGGGACTCCACTAATTTCTCTTAACATTTCCAAATTTGCAAGTCAAAATAGTGATTAAGCTCCAGGAAATGCTTCCTGTCTTAGTAAGGAGAAAGCTGAGGCATTTTTGTTTTTTAACTCTGGAAAAAAAGTGACTGGAGTTTACTAGACAATCAATGTTTATGTGTTTGAGAGAAGTAGGCTGGCTTAGTAAAAAGTCAGAATTGCAGTTAGAAAAAATATATTTAAAATCAAATGTTATAAGATGTAAGTAAATGAAAAACTGTGTGCATACATACATACATACATACATACACACTGTATATACTATTAGATTCTGTAAAACCGGAAGAAATTACATCTAGAATAAAATCTGAAGGGAGAATTTATTTTTTGTATTTTTTATTTGAAATACTTAACACTGCTTTTTGGCTGGATTTGTTAGTCTTTGAGGAGGAAAAACTTATAGAGGGGATAGCACAAAGACTGTAAAGAAGTGTGTCCAGTTCTCTTTTGGTTGGTCTTAACACTGTACCCAGGTTATTAACAGGCAACAGACCTCTAATAGCTGCTCTGTGAATACCGCTAGAATTGAAATAGATTACATTGTTCAGTGGTCTGAAATTCTCTCTGTCTTTATCTTCTATACTTTAAAAACTTTCTTTCAATATCTTAAATTAGCAGTTATTTTGAAGTTAAAAAAAGCCACCCTTAATTCTTTTCCCATGCTGTTTCTCTCCTCTCTCCTCTCTTTCTTTGCTTTCCCTTTGCTCTCTGCCCCTTTCCTGTGTCAAGCAAAGTATTGTGCACATCATTCGTGTATTATAAATGCCTGTAGGAAAAACCCAACACATTCTCAAAGGAAGAAAACTGTTAAACTTTTAACAATTTTCTCACCACCAATCTCACCTTTCTTACTTACCCTTACAAAATTAAAGCAAAAAAAAAAAAAAAGGAAATGCAAAAGGAATGTAAATCAGAGGAGGAAAACTTACACATATTAAAGGCTCAGTAAGTATGCAACATTTTTGTTTGTCACCACACTCTGTTTTTTCTTTGTTTTCCTGCTTATGTGTTTACTACAGAGCAGAACATCCTGGGAGCAGGTATTAAATAAAGTGATGAATAAAAATGTGTACTTAGTGAACATTTCACAGTCTAAGTTTTACTCCTTCCTACTTAAACCCCTTTTGCATTTCTTTTGTTGTATTTTTTGCTTTATTTTTGCATGTTTCTTAATAAACATTGACGAGATTTCATCCAATGTATATTGAAGATGCAATAGGATTCCTTAGTAATAGTAAGGTCCCTGTAACAGGAGGTATTCAGATGTGTAATGACCACTTGACAGGGGTTATACATCCAATTTAAGCACCCATTTTTACACTAGATTCTGTCAAAAGGCCCTCCAGAATGAGTGTTTTCATTCCTTTGGGGGAAGAAATTCTGTGTCTTGTCTTGATTGAAATAAAGGGGAATATCTGTCTCCTTTGATGTCAGGGTAGTTCCGAGCGGTGCAGTGGCAGCAGGGCCTGGGCTGGCAGTGACGTGCAGAAAGGACAATGGAGTCACATGGAAAAGGAGATAAGAGGTTAAAAGCTGAAGATCTGTGGCAGCCACAATATTTAATCCCTTCTAGATTAAAGTTTTTCCTTTGTGATTTTTCTCATAATTTATACAACATATTTAAAGTTTAGAGGGAAGCCTGACAAATACTATATTCATTTTCTGAACTGTTCAAATGTGATTGGTAAAATGGACCATGATGTTCCTGAAATAAATACAGTAGTTTTCCAAAGGCAGAACTGTGTCAATTTTTTATAACAGCTTCAGAGACTTCTCTGAGAATTCTTCCTCAAGCCCCAGGAAGAAATCATTACTTACTTCTTAATGGTATCTTGTACTTGCCTCCATTGATAATTTTTCACACTGAACTATAGTGTATTGGTTATATTTATCTACATCCCCTATATTGTTGTAAGTTCTTGAGGGTACAGACTGTGTCTCATTTATTTCTGTACTCCTAATACTTAGCATGGTGCCTTGCATATAGCAGGTACCACCAAAATGCTTACAGAACTAATTAGTATATTAATTATAAATGAAAGGTTCATAACAGAAGTCTAACAGGTGAGTGAAAAGTCAAAAAATTCACAAATCATGCATATGTTTCTAAAGTTACAGATCTTACATGTGATATTTACCAAATACCCTAATAACTGAATTTTTAAAGAAGCTTTATTTTCTTAGAAAAAGATTATAGCTCTCATCTTAAGTCCCTCTAATAAAAGAATAACCTAAAGACTTATGTATTCAATATCCTCATTCCTATATCTGTTCATAGCCAAACTAAGATTATAGAACCAGGGAGTTTCTGACAATGCATGATATGGTCAAATTCATTTTGTAGGTTAAATTTTAAAAGGCAATGCATTAATGAGAAGAAATAGGTAAATGAAAGAGAAGCTGAGTAGAATAAGGAAGGAAGAGGAGGGGAAGGAAGAAAGAGAAACACAGGGGGAGTGGGGAGGGAGAATGGGAAGGGGAAAATAAAGACAGAAGAGAAAAAAATATACCAAATGCAGTCATTAACACTAGAAAAAAAGGAATGGGTTTTTTTTCAGCACAGAAATGAAAATGACTTCCATAGAACAGTCAGTCATTAGTTATATGGCTAAATATATACAAGGATTAGATAATGACTAGTTTTATAAACCTGACTTCTAGGAATCAGAGACCTGAAAGTAAATTTTAAGTAAAGTGATCCAAACTTGGATGCAAAAGCTGCCAGTTAGTTCAAGTAATATTCTGATAACTTTTTACATTTGTCTCCCCATTTATTATGCCTCTCCAGGACTAATCAGATAAGATAGTACATGATGTTTGCTACCTTCTGCTGATATAATCATTCTTTTAGCCAGACATTCCTTTATCAAGTGTGTGAGTCTTAAATGCTTCAGAATACCCAAACTAAGAGTGTAGATTTGGAAATGACATCTAAAAGAGAAATTTAGAGGAAAAGTGACCAAATTAGCTATTTAAAAATACAACCAGAAACATTGAAATAACGAACCAACTGACAGTAACAAGAGAGAAGTGGGGAGATGGATAATAGGGGATAATAGAGGAAGGGACATCAAGGAACATGTATAAAGGACCTATAGACAAAGCCAAAGGGGGTAGGTTTGAGGGTGGGAGTCAGGGATGGGTGGGGCGGGTGGGGCAGGTGGGGCTTGGTGTGGTGAAAATGGAGACAACTGTACATGACCAACAATAAAAAATACAAAAGAAGAAAGGAACTATGAAATGAAAGAATGAAGGCAGGAAAGATATAATCTAATACAGAAGATGATGCCTGCATTAATTCTATAAGGAATAAAGAAAGAAGTTGTACAGAAATTATGCAGAAAGAAAGGTATTTATTTTAATAAAAGCTTCTCAATAAATTTGTGATTGGAGTCTGAAATGATACAGACATGAAGAAAAATCCATGTCCAAACAGAATAACAACTATGCAGTTATGAAAGTGTAGGGTCTATATGGAAAATGATAAAAAGTTATTTTTTATTAAAGGAAAAAGTATGTGATGGGTCATAATGAAAAAATGAAAAATAAAATTGTGGGAAGACAAGTTAGAGCCCATTTGTGGAAAGCAAATGTAGAATGCCCATTAGTTTTGTGAAAAGTTGACATAAGTAGAGCCATTTTAAAATAGAGGTAGGGCATTCTAGAGGAAAAGCATTGCGCACCTTCTTGAAATTCTGAAATGTTTGAACTGGAAAAAATAACTTTTGGCCTCGGCCAAACTGACACTGTCTTGCAGCTGTAAAGCTAGCAGGAAAGCAAACATCCTGGTGATTTTGGACTCTTTAGAATCAGTAACCAGCCATGTAGAGCTAAAGAGTAACCTAGCTTGTTAACACCAATAGAAATTCCTTTCTTCTATTTATGTAATTATTTCCTTCTCTCATAAAATCCCCTCGCATTTACCCATAATTGGGATATAATTTGATTTCTGACAGAATCTATGCCCCCGGATTACAATTCCTTTTGATCTGAAATAAATGCTTGGTGTCTCTTACTTTGGTTTTCATTTTTAGATTAATAGCCTGCAGCTAAGTTGTTTAGCTTATTTTGTTGGTGATGAAAAGTCATGTTTAATCCAAAAGAATCTATGCACCCCAGTGTTCATAGCAGCACAATTTACAATAGCCAAGTGTTGGAAGCAACCTAGGTGCCCATCAATAAATGAATGGATCAAAAAGCTATGATACACTTACACAATGGAATTCTATGCAACAGAAAGAAAGAAGGAGCTCTTACCCTTTGCAACAGCATTGATGGAACTGGAAGGCATTATGCTAAGCGAAATAAGCCAGGCAGTGAAAGACAAATACCATATGATCTCACCTTTAACAGGAATCTAGACAGTAAAACAAACAAACAAGCAAAATATAACCAAAGACACTGAAATAGAGAACAGGCTGACAGTGTCCAGAGGGGAGAGGGGAGGGAATTTCAGGGGAAAAAGGGAAGGGTTTACAGGAACAAGTATAAAGGACACATGGACAAAAACTGGGGGGTGGGGGTGGAAATGGGAGGGAGGTGGGGAGGGCTGGGTGGGTGGGCTGGGATGGGAGTAAAAGATAGAAAATTGTACTTGAACAACAATTAAAATAAAATTTAAAAAAAGAAAAGTCATGTTTATACAGAACAATTTAATTATACTTTTTATGTTTCAGTCAAGTTTTATACATGTAGTTTTATCATAGAAAATTTAGAATATAAAATACAGGTAGACAGGAGAAAATAAATCACTTATGGTCATGACAC